TGAGTTTACTCTTTGGTTGGAACACTTATAGATTTTAGATTTCTTCAAATGCCGATGTAGGAATGAAAGTCTGTTCCCATAATAAAGTAAACAGGATTGCCAAAGGAAAAAAAAAAAAATCTACTAATATAATAATATTTAGAAACTTGTGAATAGAAAAAGGATATTAATAGATTATAATATATTCTCTCAAGAAGTGGGTAATAGTTTCATCATAATCAATACTATTTTGAACAGGGTAAGAGGAAATTAATCCAAAATTAAGTAATTTAATTGTAATGATCTATAAATATATTCATTATAGGTGTTAATAAAGTAAGCTAAGTTAGAGAATACTAAAGTAAGAAAAAATTACAGATTCATAGGCCTTGCTTATATCTTGAGACAAAAGCTATATATCTTTGTGATTACAAATAGCATACTTAATAAAATTGTTAAGAATGTATATTAAAATTATAGTAGAATTTCTAAGTAATGCAACATAGTTAAATGGTAAAATATAAAATATTGTTAAAATACTATTTTTATTTTTTTAGTATTAAGGTGATATAGTAACTATTGCAATTTTAAGATTTTTTAAAAAATTAACTACTGTATTATTGAAAGTAGCTTATTTTCGAAAACATATGGTATAGAATGGTTGATAAAATACACAGTAAAAGTTTTCATTTAAAGATATTTTAAGAAAGTACTGTATATACTGAAATCAAAAAATATTGTTGAAACTAATTAATGCACTATCAACTCGGCACACATTCAAGAATTACATTTTAAACTTTAAACAAAGGTATCTTGACAAACATCCCCAATCAAATTCGATAAAAATCATTTATTTAAATTCTACATGCCTGTAAAAGTCAAACAAAAAAAAATTTTCAAAAATACCCTAGCTCAAAGTTTTAAAAAAAAATTTGGCAAATTTTATTATGATGGACAAATTTTTAAAACTTTGAGGAGTATCTCAACAACCATCTGACTCGAGATATTTTCACTCGAAGTACACATGACCCTCGTTAATATCAACCTACGTTAAATATCAACCTATGATTGGTTAATGATCAATCGACTTGCATGACCCCGGATCGTCAATCTAATTTATCTACCCCCGTTTTAAAGGAACCCCTCAATTAGTATATTTTTTTATTATAAATTAGAATAGCCCACCCTAAATAGATAAAACTCTGCACGCCGGGGTATCGGTTACAATTTTCCAAATTTAAATTTTACGTTTAATGGTTAGTCTACTTATCGCCCTACAATTCCCATTAAAAACATTTGTTTCATAACGATTCATTCACGTATTATCAGTTATGACTTGAAAACTTTATATAATAATTAATATATAGTAGATATATGCATATATTTGGTATTAGAAATAATAAATTTACCATTAATCTTATGAAAATCATCTATACTAAGACAATAATAAAATTATTTCCAAAAATAAAAAAAGGAAAATAAATATAAATTATAATGATAGAAAAAAAAAGAATAAATCAAAATGTCCAAAATTTCATAAATTACAAAGTAGAACTAACGGCATAGACTAATTGAAGATCTGATTGATGTAATCCTAGTGCTTCTAACATATTTACCGGCACTTGTTCATTTTTAGATGGTTGAACAAATAAATTTTGTGATGAAATTGAAACTGCGGTAGATAAGTTAGCAGAATAATTTTTATACATAATAGCCTTATGATATAATATTCTTAGACGATCTTCTAAATACTCTAAACACTGTAAAAAATAACAATTTTAAAATAAGTATAATTAGCAAAAGATAATTATAATTCATCGAAATTCAAACTGATACTTACAGATTCTGCAGGCATACCAATCTTAGTATACAAATCCTTACATTGATGAAGCATAGTAGATACGTAATCTGATTTAGTGTTTAATGGAACAAAATACTCATTGACATTCCTTATATGATCCTCTTGAACAGTTACTGGCGGACTTCCACCGATAATATGACCGTCATAAGCTTCACATCCTAAAATAGAGCAGTTCCTAATCAAAGATAAAGGTTATAATTATATTCCACCAATCGAATAAAAAACATCAGATTAGAAAACATACAAAGTATTCAATTGTCCCAAAATGCAAATTGATTTGGAAACTGGTTCTTGTAAAGAAAATGGTTGCATCTAAAAAAAATAAATAAATCAATAAAATAAAATAAAATAAATATTATGAGTATAAAATGTCAATAATATAACAGATATAATATAGTCACCCGTAAAGAATTCTTCAAATCAACTGCCAAAGAATCTTGAAATTCATCAAGTTTAGGGAGACCCATCAATACAAAGTCCGACATATATTTATCACAATAGCCAGCCATTAGTGACCGTCCGTAGGATTTTACAAATAATTCATCTGCACTAAGAAAACCTTTTGTATTTATTGCATTCTTATCTTTATCTGTTGTTATTAATGATGGATCAGGTATTATAGACTGAATTTGTGATCTATAAATTAACGATTAATAAGCCGTTAGATCAATTTACAAAATAATTGTAAGAAAGTTTATATGAAATAATTTTAAAAGGTAATAAACACTAGTGACATTTCTTACTTGGGCATCGGAACGTCTAAAAAGTTTTCTACAGAAATATCCGTAAAAGGAAAATCTATCATAACTCTTTTATGTCGACTTTCAGATGTCTCGTGTGATTTATTATGGTTAATATTTGCATTATCATTACTACTCTCATTTTTATTTTGGGTGTCTAGCGTTTCAGCCTCCTTTTTATGAAGGACTTTACCATCTGATGGAGTAGATTCTGATGATAAATTTTTATCATAATTTAAAGATGTCTTACACTCCTCTTCACGCTGTAATTCTAAAGGAATTAAATCTTCTGATCTTTCAAATATTTCATTGCATCGTATAAAGTAGCTAAGAACAAACAATATTCGACAAACTGTGTTTTCATCTGTTCCAGCAATTATAGTTCTACTCATTACAGATGGCGTTCCTATGACACCATATAAATCTCTTTAAATCAAAATAAAATAAAATTAAATAATAATAATAATAATAATAATAATAATAATAAAATGTAAGAAACTTGTATATATTACGGAAAGTCATTTAAACAAACGCTCATAAATAATAATAAGTTACATACCCCAACTGAGCCCACAATGGATCATAAAATAAATTTTTACCATTCTTTATAGTTATATAAATAATAAAGTCATTTTAATAATCTAACAAACAATGAACAAAACACAAATAAAATCGAAAATAACTAATTGGTACCCGCTCTTCAAAATCAGCAACAGTAGGTACCCAAGAAAGATGGTACATTAGAATGTTGGTAATTAGTATCGATATAAAGCTGTTAAAATCAAGATACTTGATTAAGGAGATAATTTTTTTTTAAAAAAAAAAACCAGAGGGCTTATGCACCAACACTTTATATAAACAAGAAATATAGAGGATACAAATTCGATCTTTCGTCATCATATTTTTCTAATAGATAAGACAATTCAGACATAAAGCTTTTTGCGAGTTTTTCCCTTTTATGCGGAAATGTTGACATGGTCAACCATAAAGGCTCCTTACACAAAGTTTAGGTAGGAGTTAGTAGTTGCTACCTTTTGCTTGTGCGCACGCAAATCATGTAAAGGCGCGCGCACTCTAGGTAAAGCAACATTTCCTAGGAGCTTCACGATGTGGAGAATCTTTTCATATTTATACCTGAATTCTCGGTGTGTTATATAATTGGCACACCGAAGTCTTAAATCTCGTCACAACTTTTAACCAGAGTGGATCATTTTGTAAAATAAGTGACGAAAGAGAAGAAGCGGAAATTCTATGTCGACTAGGTTGATTAAATATCTAAATAACGTACAATGAATTTAAGATATATGAATTTAAAGTATAATATGGATTACATTTAGGGAGTACAAGCACAAGAAGTAAAGATTATATACAGAATGAGGACCACTTATGGCAGATGGAGACGGAGTTTTTCGGAGAAGATGGCAAATTATTTTGAATACGTTAGAGTAAAGTTGATGCAATTTGTTTTCTAACAATGCAAAATGAGAGAAAACAAAACTCTCCAAAAGATCATTATCATCCAAAGATAAGACTACACCAACAGAATAAATAAAAGAACGTGAAGGGTGCTTTAAACTTGGCTGAAGCACATTAATAAATAAATAAATCAAGAAATTGAATTAATACATAATAATAAATAAGTCACAAACGCCAAGGCCTACATACACTGCTAGGTAACTGATCACACCGTGGAGTCATACTGCCTGGTAAAGGCGTTGGATTAAATATACCATTTTCCATACTAGTATAACTAAATCTTCGTAATCTTCTATTAGCAAAAGCAATTCTTGGAGAAGTAGAAGGAGAGGGAGTAGAAATAACAGAAGCACCGGAAACACGTAAGCCATGTATCGAAGGATCAATACGAAATGAAGATGGGAGAGAAGCATAAGAAGGAACAGCGCGAAAGGTGTCATCATCGCCAAATTCGGAGAAATCATCAAAAAAAATAGAGTTAGACTCCTTTGAAGCATTTCGTGAACCATTTGTGGTCATCGCACTGCCTTGAGCAGAAGAAGACAATGAAGTATCACTGCTCGTAGACGAAAAAGAACCTCTTCTCCCAGAAGGATTACTTTCTAAATCCGAAGGATTTATGGAAAATAGTTTGGTCAATAAAATTTGTGGCTTGGGAGAGTCCATAAAGTGAATCTTTGTAGTCATTCCCTTATATGATAAAGGGACGGTTCCAAACATCATATCACCAATCAAATCAATATTGTGAGCCGCCTATAATTAATACATTAAAGTACTGTAAGTATAGTTACATATTAAATTAATTAAATAGACTAATTAAACAAATGGCATAATTTTTTTTTTTTACAACCCAGAACATGATTAATCCCTCTAATTCAGAATAATAACACAATCGGAGCATCAAAGTAATGAATAATATACAGCATATATTATCACACAGATTTATAAATAAAGAATCAGATGGGATATCAAAGATTAAAACTGATCAAAGCTGACCAAAAATGATCAAAAAGCAAAAAACGTCTCTATCCTTTTTATTTTTCACCATCTAGTACTTTTTTTTTTTTTATGACAAAGTCAATCGTAATACTAACCTTTCTTAGATTACCACGATTTGAATGTGGTAATGTATTAGCATGTGATTGATTTGGATTTGGAGAATCCAAACTTCTTCGTTTACCCTCATCATGAGTAAAATCCTGAACACGAGAGTGAGTAGAAGATTTTATATTTATTGCGCTACTTGACTTTGGTAAAAAGTTTCCGCTCAGAAAATTAACACCACTCCAAGATGGGGGTTCAACATTTGCATGATCCCGGTTATCAGAGGTATTAAGAGGTGTGGAATAAGCAGAATCGAATAAAATCAGCTTTGTCTTATCGCCAGTATCTTGACAGACAATTACTCGTATTTGATTAGTGTTGAAGGGCGGAGGAGACCAACTGAAATATCAATAATAATGAATTTCCGAGGCGATTTAAACACGTGGAAGTAATAAAGAGCAAATTTTAAAAAATGTGGAAATATCTCTTGATCTATTCACTTTAATCATGTAATTATTAGAGTTTCCCACTCTTAATTACATGAAATATAAATGACCTAAACGAGCTATATCACAGACTTAACGATTTTTTCCTTAATATTCGACCTTTTGTTCTAAGTATAAATAGTATCTTGACGCTCTTTAATATCTATCTCATTACCATAAACCTTGGTATGTCCTATTCACTTGAAATAACCCGGTTAAAATAGAGCATTCTTAAATACAAGATACATACGGGTCAGTTCCTAGTAAGGATTGAGCATGTTTGTCGTCTTCATTCTTAGACGTAGGCTTTGAGCGAAATAACTTTTGCAGCATAGTGTAAATATAAAAAAAAAAGAAAAAAAAAAAAGAAAAAAAGGACGAAGAAAAGCGTCTTCGTTCTACAATTGTTTAATAATTCATGATTGTTGTGATTTTTGTGAAGAGGAAATTCACCTCCGACGTCTAAAATTCGATGGGATATCACCATCGGATGATATTCCGGGGATTTTAACTTTTATGGTTAGCACATAAATGATAACGATTTATTTGATAAGACAGTAAGGTAATTAGGTGGTTGGCGTTAAACTGCCATCGATGGCGATAATATTTAGCCCCTTCTTTATGTGAATATTCTTTGCCCAAGAAATTAAAATATAAATTCACATTTTGTAATAGATCTTTGGGAAAAATAATAAGACAAAAAAAGAAAAAAGCGAATGAACCAAAATTTAATCACGAATAACAATTGCTTTCAAACTATTTTATATAGTTATAATGAAGAAGGAAATCTTACCTTATTATTATGTAAAGATTTCACAAACTAGAACGGAGAGCAATTCTAATCATCCGGATATTGAGATTTTAAAATATCTAGATAATCACTAACAGATAAGATCTCATTTGAACCTTACAAGTCTAATGAAAGTAAAAGTTAAGAGTAATACTGTATAATTGGTTTTTGAAAATTTTACTAGATAAGAAAAGATAAGAAACTTAAGGTCCGTATTTATCGAGTAAATAAGAAATGCTTTTTGGAATGATCTTTATAAAAGTTATGTTTTTTGGTGCGCAAAAGAAAAAAATCAATGCCAAAAAGGTGTTACACGCAATAGCAAAACACGTCTTATATATATGACTAAACGAAGATAAGCCCTTAACACCAGTTACTACCGCTACGTACACGACGGTAAGCCTTAAACCGTTACATAATTACGTACGTACGGCATGGGCGACGACATCTCGAACTCTTATATCGGTATCCATTTAATTGTCACTATATATATTATATTATTATATCACAAAGATAGATAGATTAGATCAAACAGTATAAGATTAAAATTAGAAATTGGGGATTTAGTTTAACAATTTTGCAAGATTTTTTTTTTTTTGTATATTTTTTGTATATATAGAATATAAAAATATTTTAAGTCATAAAAATAATTTTATTTAACGATATCGATATACTGTATGGAGTTGGTTATAGTGACCAACACATGATTGTTAACAAATGGGTGAATACAAGGCAAAATGAGATTTTAACCGAAATTTGAGTTACATATGATACGTATCCCCAAATACTTGTCTTATTTAGGTTAAAAAATTTTATTTGACCGGTAAATTACCATATCGATATTAGTCGTTTATCTACGTCATCCTTTCGCTTTAAATTTAGATCAGTCATTTAGCATGAATGTTACATGGTGTCAGAGACTCTGTTTCAACTAAAAAGTTTCTGAATTTTTACTACACTTTCTACACTATTATTTGTGGTTTCATATAGATCGCCACTGGCAAATAAGAATGGATTTATTGAAAAAATTATAGATTAGAAGCGCCGAAATTTTTTTTAATCATTTAAACATTTAACTGAACCGTTTAATTAGGTCACGATTAAAATAATTGTCGCGACTGAAACGGCTGAAACTGGAGATTTTAAATATTTTTTACCGGTTTTACTAAATCACACCAGTGGCGTTCAACACTACAGTTGCTATTTTTATTACGTAATTAAAAACAGGCGAAGATAAATTAAAAAAACGTGTGAGCATTATTTAAATCAGTATTCGGACTTTAATCATCGCATGTTTTAAACAGGTGAAAAAATGGTTTAAACTGTTTTTTTACCATCACTAGTTGCTGGTTCTACCACAAAATCCGACATCCAAAATGTCAAAACCATAATCCCGACGTGACAATTAATTTTTAATGATTAGTAATCACATTAACAATCATTGTCAGACTTTAAATTTTAAAGGTAGAGTACATGTAGATCATTTGTCATATGACTTTAACTGCAAATTTTTTTCATATAATATTAAAAAAATTTTTTTACTAACTTAACTGTCTTTAAACCTTTAAGCAAAATTGTAAAGCAGGTTTTTCTGATTCTAATGATAGTAAAATTATAAAATTTGAATTAAAATTCATTAATATATGTTTATTTAAAGATTAGATATTATAAATATATTATAAAATCATATGGTATAAAGAAAGACAGTATAAAAGAAGATTGTGTAGAGGAAGACTGTGTAGAAGAAGATGGTGTAGAGGAAGATGGTATAGAGAAAGATGATATAGAGAAAGATGGTGTAAAAAAAATGATATAAAGAAAATGGTGTAGCAAAGACTGTGTAAATAAAGATAGTGTAGTAAAAGATGGTATAAATAAAGATGGCATAGGAGAATAATAGTTTTGTTAAGAGGTTGAAGTAAAATATCAATTCATTTAGTAGATAAAGAACAGTTGAGACAATGAGTACTAATAGCATTAAGATCAAATAGCCAAATTCTAGTAGTTTTAAAAGCATTAGTTATTATTGCTAGGATATAAGTTTTAATAAATGTGAGACTAAGCATTTTAGCAAATGTGTGTTTAGTTATCAATTCGCTAGTTATATGATGAAATTAATTACAATGTTTACTATATTCAATTTTGAGTTTGGCAAAAGATAGTTTAGATAGTTGAAGGACATGAGTTGTATGAAGTGGAAGTATATATAATAAAATTCTATTTTTATGACAAAAATTAATGCTCAAATAATTTACATAACTACTATAGCCATCAAGCATTAAAAGAACAGAATAACGAGAAAGAATAGAACTTATAAAGTGTTCAATATATATTTGAAAAAGATTTTCATACATGTATCTTGAATCAATAAAACCCATAACTGTACCCAATAGTGCACTATTTAACAACTAAGAATTGCACAAATGCCTTTGTATATAATTAATAAAGAGATATAATTGCTAGCAACTAAAATAGTTGGCATAATAAAAATATAATCATGCAAATTACTATATACAACCTTATAAATTTGGTGAGAGCCTTTTATTGCAAAAACTTTTTGAGCCTGTAGAGTTATAACAATGCTAGTTTTGTCTATATTCCAAATTTGGTCTGAGGTAAGTGAATTATCTTATAATATTTTATATAGTTTGTCAAAGTAATCTTTAAAAATAATTGAATTAGCTCTTTAAGCATGTGTCTTTGACAAGGCCTGAGATATTTAAAAAGATAGATCAGAATAATCTTTTATAAAGCATGTCTAGAGTGCGCCAGGGCGACCACGAAAAGTCCAGTCAGATGATCTGTGCGCCACAGCCGCAGTACATAGGTTCGATATAGAAGGTTCGTTGTGTGACTCTCTAATGGTCAACTCTTCAACTCCTTCCTAAAAAAATGTTAAATAAGTATTCATTTCTTGCAAGTCCTTATGAACTCATTATTTAAAAAGCGAAAAAACGATTTAATCAATATTTTATAGATGGCATAAGATTGGTATAAGTGGCGAAAACTGTATGAGCAGAAAATTTATTGAGGTATAAAAATTTATAAAGAATCTTAAAATATGTAAATGTTTATTTGTGCATGATACATTAATTTTTTTAAAAAAAATATAAATATTTAATCCCTTTACTCATTTACTAATTTACTTATTTCATCATTATTATTAGTTATATCACTCTCTATTATTTCTGATTTATTTGAAAGAGGTAAATACATTAAATATGGTTTTTTATTTACCGGAGCCCAAGTAGCCTGTCTATGCCTTTTTCTCTCAAATGATTCTATTTCTTCTTCCATATCTGCTAATCTGCTCCAGTCTATCATTGCACGTACATGGCGCCAGTTATTAGCCGATCGTTCAGTACGGATCCGCTTTATTGCTCGCTCAATTAGAGGCCATTTCT